TAAAAATAAAATATATTTAAGACTTTTAAATTTTAAAATAAATACAATATCAATTAATCAATAAGACATTAGTAATTTTTAAATATTTTTATTAAATAAAATATAAAGATGCTAAATGTCTCGATTCATTAGTAATACATTATTTTTATGTTGATAATTTTTTAATACAGAAAATTAAATATACTATTAGTGTTAATTTATATTAAAAATTTATTCATTAATTACCAAATAAATAAACATATTAATGAAAATAAAACATCTAATCGTCAATATACGACAATCTTTTTAATTAACGTTTTGAAATGAGATTTCTTGTATTTTTGTTTGTACGTTTGTTTGAGATCACATGTATATATTTTAAGAAACAATCTTACTCGGGTCATAAAATTATCCTGAGTAACAAAAAAATTTATTTAAATATTTAATATAGTTACCTATTTAAAACTCTAACTAAAAACTACTGATAAATTTCTTTCACTTGCAAGGTCCACACTTGGCTCATAAAAATATAGTTATACTTTAATAAATTTTTTATCGTATAAAAATTACACTTGACAGTTAAGCTTTCCTGCACTCACTTTTATGATTACAAAGAACACATGCAATGCCAGAGTTCTTAAATAGAAAAACAAACTAGTGTTAGGCTTTTGATTTTTCTTAGCCGAGGATATTTTGGTGAATCTATAAAGATGATATTAAGTTATACACGATATTGTGCAACATATTTTGGACTGTATCATTTTGCAGCCAATGAATGGTAACTATGAAGAGGCAAAAAAAAAAGGGTTATATTCAGCTGCCATATTGCTTTGTGGCCACTGGTTTTAAACTGGCCTGTAGATCTACACTTAGGTTATTTAATAGAAGGAAGGTGCAAGGCAAATGAGACCAAGTGTCTCTGAGATTCCCATAATTTAAACCCTAATGGACAACTAACGGTAAGTAAAAGTCTAAAGTGCATAAAAATATTGTAGGGACAAATTAGCAACTGCGAAGTGGCGCATCGTCTCCCCCAACAGCCAAGGAACCCAAAACATGGGGCTGGTTTACGTACCAAAGCAAGAGAGAGAAATTGGCCGTAGTTACCAATTAGTTTTAACAAAATGAAAAATAAAAGGAAAAAACTTAACTACTATACATATTGATTAGTTATTTTAGCAAGATGTTTTTTCTTAATTATATTTTTTTGCTTAAGATTTTATTTAAAGAGATGGAATTAATTAATATATCAAATGGTGATTATTTTACTTATGATAGAGATGATCTTGCATTGTAAATTTTATCCGAAACAAAAAGGGACAGTGACGAACTGGGGGCGTCTACTTGGAAACTGAGAGGGGAAATGAGAGAGGTTGGGTTGGCCCTTTGACGAAGCCTGGAGTCACCTTCTTTTGTGGTGCCTCCTTTTTTCTCTCTCTTTGTCACTCTCTTTCCTTCTGTCACCCACTCTTACATGCATCTCAGCCAGATAGATAAATCTACACATGCATACACACCCCTTTCATTCAATCTTACTAAAACCCTACATCCATCTTCCTAAAATCCAAACTCTAATCACCTGACGACATAATTTCTAGTACCCGCTTCAGGAATATGAGTGCGTCACAAAAGGGTCAACAAATTAATATTAATAAAATCCAAATATATATATGTATGTATAGTAGTGACACTGCCAAATAAAAAGATTTTCGCGTCTTAATTGAAAATATATTGGATTTTTTCAGTCTGTTTGTGTCTTTCAGATGTCTCAACGTACGATGATACCACAAAAACCACATCTAATTTCTCTGGCGTTGGATATTTTTCCTGTCCGTTCATTGTTACTTCTGTTTCCACCCATATGTTCCTTGTCATTCCTGCGTATTGATAGGTGACTATGTTGTGTCTTTCTGTCTATAAGATATTATACCGTGCACTAGAAAATTGATTGGTGTTGGAAAATTAAGTTTTGTATCTTTCAACAAAACTTATATATCTATTAATATAAATTTCTGGTTAAGATCACTTTGAATATGTAGTCCAAGTACAATAAACGATTTAAAGTTAATTATATTAAAAATGATTATTTCAAATTTAAAAACTGATATCCAAATTACTATGTTCGTTCCTATTGGTGAAAACCTATAACAATTCAGATATCGAAATACTACCGTTCATTGGTTTGTCCTATCTCTCAAGAGATTGCGCTTGATAACGAATAGGAAAAGGTCCACAAGCATGCCCTGCACTATTTGATTTGATCCCTAAAGCCATTCCATGATTATTAATTTGGTAAGGAAGAAAAAGAATCTCAGGTTGTCTTTTTTTGTTTTTTTAATTTCCTTTTGATCCATTTTCCCTTGAGTCACACACTGGAAACTACAAAAGTGAAGTGTATGAATCACATAATCACGCTACTCGGACTTTCCTTTCTGATTTTTGATATTCCTAGTCCAACAAAGTTTTGAGCTAAGCAAGAGAAAGAGGGGTATTTCAATGTTGTAAGCTACAAAATCTATTCTCCTCAAGTGTCTCTAGTTAAAATTAATTAAAGGGATGAATTGTGAAACGAATCAATTGGGGACTATATAGCTTAAAAGGGCACGTAAATTCATTGTTTAAAATTGAGTCAAGATACAATGACAAACTAATTATTGTAATTTGTCGTTTTCTTCGTTAATAAATATCTCTCCTATTACTTTTTCTTCTTGTGTGTTCTTAATTAAAAGCAGGCAACTTAATTAAATAATTAATCAACATAAAAATATATCACGGAGTTCACTTTTAATGTTCAAACTATATGTTACCGGGTTATTGTATCCCACCACTTGTCTCTGTTGCTTCAAGTGGATGGCTGGATGCTTCCCAATATGCTATTTTATAGAAAATATAAGCTGAGAAGAAAACATTAGGGCCATGACAGAGACGCTTGCATATTGCTACTAGAATACACACTCAACTATATTGTTATTATTTTTTAATTCGGGACATCCTAATCATATATTTTAGAGCAAGCATTCTTAATAATGTTGGTTGGATTGTAAAGGTATTTTAAATTTAGAAGAGTTGAAACCGAGTCCGGGGAGTAGATATTTTCCGCTTAGCACTTGTATAAAATGATGTATTTGGTTAAAGAAAAAGAAAGAAAGAAAGAAAGAAAGAAATGACTTTGAGAAAATGTTTATTTTTCATATATGGATAGAGATTTTTCCCGCCATTAATAGAGATACGACAGTTTTTATAACTGGGTCAAATGGGCTTGGGAGCACATTCTTATGCATGATCCGAATCACATATATTAATTGGGCCTCGTGTGCAAGCCCAAATATTTTGAGGACAAAAATGAGGCAGATGATAAACACACCTCCACTCTCGTATAAATACACCGTTTTTTTTTTAAAAAAATATAAAATTACCCTTTTAAAAAAAAAAATTCCTAAATTTACACCTCCTTTCCCCGCACAGAACGGCACCAGAACGACACCAGAACGGGCCGTTCTGCAAGTAGAACGGCCCGTTCTGATCGCAGAACGCCTCGTACTGCTTGCAGAACGCCCCGTATTGCTTGCAGTACGGCCTGTTCTGCAAGCAGTACAGGCCGTTCTTCTTGCAGTACGGGCCGTACTGAAATCAGTACATGCCGTTCTGCTTGAAGACGGGCCGTTCTGGGGCCGTTCTGTTGCAGTTCAGGCCACCGCGTCACTTTTAAAATGGCTACCTTATGACTGATTTTAAAACTCCTATTTTAAAAGTCATTTTTATACTAGTGTGTCTTTCCATAGAACAAGTAAGAGTCTTTCTCTTACAAGACCACCGGCTGACATTGCGCACCCCTCTTCTTTCTCTTTCTGACACTCCTCTTCTTTTTTTTTTTCCCGCACCTCGCACACCCCTCTTCTTTCTCTTTCTGGCACTCATCTTCTTCTTCTTCTTACTGTTACGGAAAGTTCTTTCCAGAATTATATAAAAATTTTCCGGAAAATACTTTCCATAATATTAAATTCTTATTCCAGAAAGTATTTTCCGGAAATGTTTTGTTACATAATTCTAGAAAGTACTTTCCATAATATTAAAGTTACTATTACGGAAAGTTCTTTCCGGAATTATATGAACAATAATTTTACTATTCTGGAAAGTACTTTCTGGAATGCTAATGACTGTAAAAGTACTTTCCGGAATGCTAATGACTGTAAAAGAACCTTTCTTATGCTGGTTATGGTGGGGCTAGTCCTTTTTTTCTATTCAGAATGATTGTAAAAGTATATTACTTAATAACATTGAGCGGAAAGAAGCTTTGGGAAGAAGAGGGGTGTGGAGTGTGGGGTGCGGGGAAAGGAGGTGCGGGGAAGGGGGTGTAAATTTAGGAATTTCATTTTTTTTAAAAGGGTAATTTAGACATTTTATATACTTTTTTTTTAAAAATGGGGTGTGTTTATACGAGAGTGGAGGTGTGTTTATCATCTGCCCAAAAATGAAGTTGGGCTTCATGGCGTTTAACAAGTAGTTTGAATATCAAAAGGACGAAAATAAATACGGGCTTAGATTTGGAATGTACCCGAGTATTGAAACGATATTACAAACGCAAAAAAGATCAACACACACAAAAAAGAGAAGAAAAAAAAAAAAGAACAAATACTTGGATTTAAAAAAGAGAAATTAACAAAAAAAACAACAAACTTGGTATGTTCTCGTACGTGAATGATACCTCATTAATCATAATCTTGATTTATATGGTACAACTTTTAATTCCAAAATCCAGTGTTGCCGAGGCTTGACCCCTCACGGTTGCTTTCTGAGACTCATGATACGTGAATTAATGAAAAGCGAAATCTTTTGGATTTACAAAAATAATCTCTAAAAAATGAACCAAACCAAACTAAGTGGCAATAAAAATATTGGATATGCCATGATTTTGTATTGCCACATGGTGTTAGGTTGGGGGTTATTTGCGATCAATTTGTATGGAAATGGCATCAAAGGAAAGGATAGAGAATGGGGTGGTGATCACAGTGTACACAGAATCAGTGACAACTCGCTCGAGAAGAATGTTAGAGGATCCCACGAAGAAAACAAAGCCATGCCCAAATTTCAGGTCAAATGGGGGCTATGATCGTCGGGCTCTGCTTCTTGCTCACTCTCAAGAGCTTAGAAATGAAGGGTCCCAAAATGTTCCATCACACACCAATCAATCGTGGCCTAAAGCTAAAACCAAGGTACGTATTTCTGAAAATAATTTATGAAAAAATGTGAGTTTAGTCTAATTTAATTTCGTATAAAATTATGAAAATTATAAGAAATTAAAATTTTGCAAATTTAGCCGAAGGGTATATGGTTATCTCAACCATGGTGGCGCTCAAGTACGTGTGGTTGTGAACGAGTGGTAGCATGCAAAGAGAGCAAAGAAAGAGACCCAAATGCCTCCCCGTTTTTGGTAACATGATATTACCATTCACATTCACTACATAAGACCACGAACACATATAATTGTGCGCTTCAATGTTTTAATTTGGATTTTTTAAGTCCTTAATTTTTACTTTTTACGTGTTTGTTTTGTTTCATCTACAGAGTAAAATGAAGATCACGCTGAAACAATTGTCGTGCAAGAAAATCTAGTGGTAAAGAAGATTATGATGATTGTGGGTGTTATTTAGGGCGTCCAATATATTTTATTAGTACAACGATGTTATGGTGTTCTTTTCTTTTCTTTTTTCCTTCCTTGGTATTTCTCATTGAAAATGATCGACATGTTTCGTTTGGTTTTCTAAGATTGACATTCAAAAGAGAGATGGGGAAAAGTAAATATTATAGACTTGAATGGGTAGTTGGAACTTGGAAGACAAATTGCATTGTATATATTTGTTCTTTTCTCAAGTGATATTGTCGTTATAGTATCGTGGAAATTCTTAAGCGAAAGACTTGGAATTGAAAGGTTAGAGAATGTTGGAGAGAAAAACGCATCCAATTATCCATTCATTTAGTGTAATTTGCATAATAAATCTCAATTTAGTCTTAAACACTTTCTAGTCTTTAAATTTAATTAAATATTTTTTTTACAACAATAGCAATTTATCATTCATGTTTGTACAAACCACGTAGTATTTTTATACAATATATAGAATAAAAAATTGTAAAATCCTTCGATTTAATCTTTGGCTTTAGCATTCATCAGTCATCACCTTGTCCCCTGTTAGGAACAATGGCAATAAAGGAGAGAAGAGAGAAATAGAGCTCGCACAGACCACCCCTCTAGCTCTCAGCAAAATGCCGGCGGAGCAGTGCAAGCGTGGTAAGCCAGGAAACAGGGTCAACTCCCCTACGGGGAGTAATCAATACAATTGCAGGTGGTTTCGCAGGGGGATTAAAATAGATAATTTTATAAAATTATAGGACAAATAATTACTTAATTAGGATTGGAAAAAAATTACATATTAAATACTCCAAGAGTAATTTTTGGTAAAATTATCTCACTCAATAATCTATTGTATATATTTAATTTCAACGATTCAACTATTAAATTAAAAAAATTTAGTGCATAAATTAAGTCTATAAATTTTTTAAAAAATTAAAAATTATTTGATATTTTGTTTCGTTAATTCAAATTAATAGATAATCATAAAAGTATTTTATATATTAATTTTAATCTATATAACAAAATATAATATAATTTTAATTTTTTTAAAAAAATTATAATCTTGATCTATGTATTAAGAACTTTTAATATAACGATTGGATTGTTGAAATTTAACATATACTATGAGTTATCGAGTACTAAAAATTACTTTTTGAGTTATTTGATCTCTCTTCATAAATATGATGTATATTTATAATTAAGGAAAGTAATTTATTTTTAGCCGTCTATTTTTGGAACGTACGAAAAATAAATATGTTTTTATGTTTTTTATGAAATAAAAATATTTCTTAACATAAAATACTTTTAAAATCTCAATGGAGTGAGTGAGCTTAATTTTCATGCAGTGATAATATATGTATATATATAATTTACATTTTTTCTTTTAATTTTCTTCGCACTCTATTTAGTTGTTAATTCTTTTACTTTCACAGCAATGTTGTTTCGTTTTTAATCAATATAACTCGAATGAAATATAAGGAAAGTTTAGTTAAGGATTAATTATTAATTAAATTATTTTTAAATTACTTAAGAGCGTTATTCTCGTTATTATTATGTTTTCAAAAATATTATTTCTAAAAGTGAAAATATATAACAAGAAACAAAAACTTTCCAATAATATTCATAATCTATTTTGTGAATTGTGGTTGAAGTTGGATTTCAAGACACATGATGGAGTCCGGTCAAAATTCAACTCTGAAGGGAAGATTTTATCCATTAGTGACGATGGTACGAGACTATGGTCTATGGGAGAAGTCGATGAAAGTTTTAAGCCCACACAAATTATCATTACCAATTTATTTGGTAAAGTTATTTATGTCAATTAATATTTCAACAACTTGTGTTACTGTGTACGACAAATGGTTTATATGAAATTATTTTTCGTGCTTTTTATTTTAAAATAATATTAAATATATCATTTAATTTAGTATAAATAAATTTATATTATCATTTTATAATAAATTATCATTGTCTTAAATGAATTGTTACAAGAGTTTGAACTAGGACATTTTCTAGTTGCATTGGAGGAGGTATTTTGTATGTATTTGTATCCTTATTGGCTTATGGTCAACTTAGTACCTAAGGTAGGTACTGATATAATTAGTTTATGGCACTTCAACATTAATGTTCATTTGTAGGTCTTTGATTGATCGATTAGTTTTCAATACACAAGTTGAGTGAGTTAGATTATCATTCATAGTCCGATCGGGCTCATGATAGATAAAAAAAACTTATTTATTGTTATGGTGTAACTCTAACATAAGATAAAGATAAAGATATAACAATTCACTATTTAATAAGGTAGGATATAGTATCCCCTCAAAAAAAAAAAAAAGTAGGATATAGTAGGTCCAATATACGTGGAACCATTAGATGAAAAAGATATACAATCAAAACATAAAAGAGGTACATGCTAAAAAATAGGAACACGATGAAGACACTGACGCCCTCTACAGGCCGCGAGTAGTGATTCTTCTCATCTTAAAAATCTCTATTTATTGACCTTATATTACTATTTTAAAAATAAAAAAAATATTTAAAATAAAACTTGTGAGGAAGGAATTTCCAAGTTTTACTCACAAAACTTGAAGGGAGGATTTTCAAGATTTATGTAACACATTTTAAAATAAATAATAAACATCCTTGTGGAAGTAGGCACGTTAAATAAATTTGTGTGATCTTTTTTCTATTTTTTATGATGTTATTTTAATATGTTTCTCATTATTATTGTGTATGTACTATCCGTGCCGCCATGCCGAGCTCGAGCTCGGTATCACAGCGTGGAATGACCTCGGAACACGCATTTGGAGATCTCGGTCTAGACGAGATCCGCAATCCAACCAGATCATAACTAATTTTAGAAGATCTCGGTCCATACGAGATCCGCTATCTAATTAGATCATAACTGATCTCAGGCCCAAGGCCCAACGCAACCCTCACTCACACTAAGGTACGTGCATTACTTATATGAGACATCTACTCATACAAACCCTAACTTTAGCATCGGAGTCTCTTTTGCAGGTATCACCCCCATCTTGGAGCAGCAAGCGTACCAGCGAATGAGGCTCACCGATCTTACCCAGCAGATCGTCCCTACCACCGATCTCCGGTAAGAACATTTGGCGCCCACCGTGGGGCCGATTAAGACAGCTCTTATCGGCCACGCTTATGGTATTCAGTATTCACCAGAAGCCATAGTAGACGCGCAACAGACGATGCAGATCACACAACTACCATGGAAAACGAAGCCACATTGAGGAGACTGATCGACCAGGTCTAAAAGATGCGACAACAACACGACACCGATCTGTGAAACATGCGTGCCAAGCACGAAACCGACCTAGCGGCTATGCGGACCGCTAATGAAGCTGACCTAGCGGCACTACGTGCCAAAAACGAGCGAATTCGCGCTCAGCTCCCTCATCGCCCCTCTGAGCATCAGCCTCAGGCGAGCAACCTCCACGAGGAAGAAGGGCATTCGGTCTCCCAACCTCGGACTGCGACTAGGGCACCGACTCCGCGACCTGCCACGCATCGGTCTCATGCACCAACGAACAAGTCGGCCCATGAAGTTAGCAAGGCCCCTACTCATGTCACGTGGGGTCAGGCATCCTTCCGCCGTCATCCCTTTGTGGATGGCATCAAGGGGACACCACTCCCTCACGGATGGAAACCTCTCCACCTCGATCGCTATGATGGCACGACGGACCCCGATTAGCACATCGACCTGTATACGACACAGGTAAACCTCTACACTAACAATGATGCTATTTTGTGTAGGTTTTTCCGACCTCGCTCAAAGGGGCCGCACTTAATTGATACACCCAACTTCCCGCTGAGTCAATCGACAGTTTCAGCACTCTGGTCAGGCGATTCACGGCGCAATATGCAACGAGCTGGCCTCACCACATCACTTTAGCCACCCTGGCCAGTCTCAGACAGAACGACGACGAGCCACTCCGGGCATTCTAGAGCGATTTGCCGCCACCTCGGTTAAGATCAGAAATCTGAACCCCGAGGTCACCCTGCATGCCATGCTCAGGGCACTCAAGCCCGGGCCTTTCGTCGACAGCCTATGTCGTGAGGCTCCTCGCGACATGGACGAGTTCCGCGCCCGCGCTGCGGTCTTCATCTAGATGGAGGAACACTCCGCTTTTTGTGACCAGGTTCGCGGCAAAGGACCAATAAAGTCAGAACAAGGTCACAAGGACAAGATCAAGGTCAACAATGACAGCCAGTTCAAGAAATCAGCTAGGGCAAACAGAGGGGGGAGATATGACTTCTATACTCCCCTGAACACACCCCGAGTACATATCCTAGAGGAGGCCAGTAACAGCAACCTGCTCACCCTGCCACCGCCAGGTCACAACCCCCAAAGTGCCGACAAATCCAAGCACTGTCGGTACCACAGGAATCACGGTCACACCACTGAGGAGTGTCGCACACTCCGAGACGGTATTGAAGAGCTCATCTAGGCAGGCCAATATGTCCAGCGACAGTAGGGTCACCGAGGAGGTTATGGTGGACGAGGACGAGGCAAAGGTCGTGGTTCAGGAGCTCGCACAGACCAACCCTCTAGCTCTCAGCAAAATGCCGGCGGAGCAGTGCAAGCGTGGTAAGCCAGGAAACAGGGTCAACTCCCCTACGGGGAGTAATCAATACAATTGCAGGTGGTTTCGCAGGGGGAGGCGCCAGCAGCTCGGCCCGAAAGAGACACCTGCGCAATATCAACAGCGTCCATTCCGCTACCTCGGCTTCGCACTCCCCAACTTGAATGACTTGTAGTTAATGGGAATAAAGTTTTAGCAGTGCTCCAATTCATTCAAGCATGGTGACCAAGCCAATTGCACTATACAACTCAATTTATTTTGTTTCCTCATAGGACAAACACAATGTGAACGCTCATATGCCCCCCTTCAATTCTCTTTTGTCTACAATATTTTTAGCCATGAAACAAAGCACCATAGCCTCTATGGTTATATTAAGAATATCTCAGATTCTGTTGCAAACAAAACTTCATGTAAAATGTTTATCAATATCTTCTATCCTCCATCTTATAATATTGTGATGGGTTGACGATATTACGATTATTACATACAATGATAAATTCATAATTTTAAGTAATAGAAGCAATATTTATATATATATAAATTTGTAGCAATAAGAATATTACAAAACATTTTTGT